CTATTCTATTCTATTCTATTCTATTCTATTCTATTCTATTCTATTCTATTCTATCCTATCCTATCCTATCCTATCCTATCCTCCTCCCTAAGATCTGTGCCATACATACATATTTCAGGGAAATTACAAATTATGGCCCCAATATTTCTCTCATTTGTCAATGTGCTTTGGAGAAGATCAAAGCAGGAAGAAAGTTTTGCACTATTTCTGACGGCTCTGCTCCTCTAAAGTCCATTACTGTGAAATAGAACCTCTGTCTTGAGCAGAAGTATCTCCATTTGGAGGCAGTATCCAGATGGTTAAGATTTTGACAAACTTCATCTGGTTCAGAACAGGTTCAACATATTCCACTCACATTTGATATGCAGCAGTCACTGGAATAAAACTTCAATGTTCTTGGATTCCCATGTTCCTGTGTAATTAGTCTGGGAAAAATCTGATGGGACTGTCAAATGAGGGCAATGAGAGAGTGTCATATATCCTTAGTGAACGCAGATCTTAGGAGGACATTCTATTAGTTCAACTTTGCTAGGGTCACAATGGTGAACTCTCTTACAATATGGAATTTTCCTTTATTTCCAAATACCACTGCATTGGGCATGGCATTGCACCTTGCCAGTGTGAATGCTGTTCTCTAATTGGTCATTGTTATATAATAAAATCTTAATTTAATGAAATATTTGGGGGGAGGGGATGTCCATTAAATCCACATTTATATCATTTGCATCAATTTACATCATTTGTGTAGTGACATAACTGATATAAAAGTGTGATTTGCAGTAAGATTTAATGGACAAACTCTTTATTTAATGGACATTAGTCTGTTAAATGGGGGTAAAGTCTGAACAATAAAAATTGTCCATTGTATCTGAAGTCTGTTAAACCAAAATGTTATTGTATTCAATGAATTACCATCAGCTTCAGTGAACAGTTAACTATATTCAGATTAAAGTAATTTGGAACTGGTGATCTGTTCAACTGGTGATCTATGATTCTGGCACTTTCTAATGTTAAGAGTGCCCTTGGAGAAAATCCATATGGTTGGAACTTAGCCTTGATTTTATCAGTATAATGAGAGTCAACCCAAAGAGGGATAAGGTAACTTTTAACCAATAATTTAACATTTAAATTGTGTATTTTTTGTTCAACTAGCTCAACTCATTCATCTTTTTTCCTTGATAGGATTTCAAAGACATTTCCCGTTTCCAGCCTCTCATATTAAATGTGGAGTATGCCCTGAGCCCTTATGATTTATCCAAGTTTATCCAACCAGAGGTGCATTCAGCAGAGGTGAGCCATCACATCTGGGGCATGCCAGAAGACCAAAAATTATTCAATCCAACAGAGACAGGTTACCAACAACAGTCCAAAACTTCACCATTCCAGTCTCCTGCTCAACGCTCAGATCTTGCAGTAGGTTATGCACCACAAGTGATCAAGAACAGTCGGCTGCGGACACTACGGGTCAATCCTTCCACATTAACATATGGATTATGCATTGAAGGGGCCACCCTCAAGGCAAACCAAGTGATTAAGCTGGATTCTTTTGTAAGCAATGGACACTATAAAGCCCAGAGACCGGAAAGGACCAACCAAGAGTTGCAGGAGACCAAGATTCACCAGGAGGCAGGGTTGATAGTGGAAACCATCCCCCAGATTCAACATTTCCCACTTCAGGAAGACTCAAAAGGTCTGCCACAGGAGTCTCCCTGCCTTCTGGGGGAGTGGATACCTGCCACCGTGGGTGGAAGAACAGGAAGCTACAGAAAGCAAGCAGAATTGCCACCTTCCAGCTTGGAAGCAGGCCAGAATGCTATCTTGGATGGAGGTGATTCTCTGTTGTTAACTGATCCACCACCACCCTTATTTCCACCCTCTTCTTGCAACAACCTCCCTCAGGGTCACAGCACAGGGCAACAACCAACCTTCAATCTGTTAGCCTGGACTGATAATTTTTTGCATTCCAACCCTTTTGGATTCCAAGTCACAGACTACTTAGCTCAAGGAAACCAGGGGTTGAAAAGTGAGCCTCAGTCTTTAGATATTGCCCCAAATACCCAGGATTCTAATCAGATCAACAAACCTCTCCCAAGTTTGTTCAGAGACTTGGAGCTGAAGCTACAGTGGGACTGCAGGCCAGAGGAAAATGCAGCAACTTTTTAAGCAATGCAAAGAGTTTGGAAATTTCTTTCTACAAAATAGAGTGGAAAGCAGATTCTTTTTTTCTAATGAACTCTGATTCCTCTGTACGAGTTGCACTTCTACATCTTAAAAAGGAGGAAAATTCAGAAAACTGCATTCCACATTTGTATTCATACAGGCTCGATGGAAAAGTGAAAGCAGAATGAAATAAATATTGTTCTAGGTTTGATATATAATCTGGCAGGAGAAGGGCATCTTTTTGCAGCTGGGGAATACACTTTTTGGGGAAAAAATATAGGTCCTTCAAAGGCTGCAGGAAATGTGTCAGTCAAAAGTGGGTGTTACTGGGGAGGATGGGTCATAATTCTTTGCCCACTTTTGGCCCATTCTGGGGAAATTGGGCGAGTTTTTTTAAAACTTAAAGGCTTAATGCACATATTGTAGTTTTATTTTGTTTTCAAGGAATTACACTATCTGCTTTTAACAGTGCAATCTTGGGAGCTCTAGGGCTGAACAAATAGCACGGTGGGTGACTCATGAAGCTAGGATGTGACAATGATACCTAGATATATAGAGAGCTAGCTGACCATGCTGGAAGTCTTGGGCTTGTCCAGATGATCAGTTTTCTCATCTTCCAACCCTTCTGAATCCAGGTCCTTTTAACTAGATGTATTCAGACATCAGATGCTACAAGCATGGGCATTTTTTCATGGGCATTTCATTTTTTGAATTCTGCAGGCTTCGCAGAGAATGATCTGCTACTTAGTTCTCCCTGGCCAATCAGTCACCGAGGGCCTTTCAGGTCTCACCCTCCTTCCCTTTCTTCACAAAACGGAAAAAGAATGAATTGCCAATGTCTCCCCCTGTTTCTGTGTCTGCCTAGTAGCGAACCCTGCATTGGGACTTCTTTATCTCATCATGCCAGCACGCTGCAATGACAGGATCTCAAAAGTTGGGATGAGCCAAGAATCCCTTCCAGTAGGAACGTGGACGACCCCTTCAAGAATGAAATAGAGATGTGCTGGCATGTTTGGAGCAGCATTCACTGCTTTGCAATGGCATTTCCCTGTCCGTGGGTACACCTCTGATATTGTCAGCCTTGAGAGGTAGTCCAGACAAGAAGCACACCCGGAAGTATGGCCTCTTACTTGATTGCAAGGTTACGCTAACAGCATCTTGTAAAACTGAAAGTACGTCTCTCCTCCCCCACACCTTTACAGTCCAAGAAATGAGGGAGGGTCCCTTCTGAGACATTTGGCACACCCCATTCCTTCTATGGGCTCAGCTGCCTCTTATCTGACTGTTGCCCAGCCTGCGGCTCTTCCCCCTCTCTCCCAAGGTCATTCCCACATACCATTACAGATGTGGGGTCATACTGAACTGGCTTGCACTGGCAAGTTCCCAGCAACAAAGTCATGTAATCTATGGTGGGGTTGCTCATTTCAAGTGATTGCATGATTCCTGGAGTCCTCCACATCTTAGGACATCTTAAGGCTCTTTCAAGATAAAGTTTGAAGTGCCTCATAAGTGGCATAACAGGTTTCCCTGGATCTTGTGAGGTACACAATAGGAACATGTTTATCCTCTGCAATGATTGATCAACACAGACTTAAATAGGAGATCAGCAGCTGGTATTACATGATAGCTTATTATGTATTAAAGACCCATTTCCCAAATTGGCATTATCTGCCGATTCTCCTCTCCACTACCACTCTGAGAGGCCAAAGATACATTTGGATTTGCAAAATAGGTGGGTAAATAAATTTTGGCAGTATTGGCACACTCCCTCTGAGAAGGTGGACCATGGAGTCATGGGCATCCACATTATTTTGTGATGTGGCTGCTGAACCTGGAATAGTGTTTTTTTGAGGATTCTGTGGTATAGACCAGGGTTCCTCAACCTTGGCGACTTGAAGATGCGTGGACTACAACTCCCAGAATTCTGGGAGTTGTAGTCAACTACATCTTCAAGTTGCCAAGGTTGAGGAACCCTTGTATAGATAATATCCTGTTCTGAGATGCATAGCAGTTCCTCCCACAACACTACTCTCTCCACCATATCAAATTTATCTTTAAACCCACTTTTATGGAAAATTCCACAGAGGACAATCCTACTTGCAATCAGAACAATTAGCATGTCCTTTTACGTTGCAAGGGCTCTAGGGACATGGGGAAAAACCTTATCATAACCCTTTCTATCAACATTTCCAGGTCATCCAGCCATTTATTTGTCTCCCTTTTACTATCAGACACTCCAATATTACACACAATGTAATATTACACAATGTAGACAAAATCTGTGCCACAGTATCAGTATTACATCCTGCTGTAGTAGCAGGTGTTCCATAACATCTGTAAAATCAGTGAACTTTGGCCACGTGTAATCTGATCTAGTTCTTGGGCTGCTGTGTTAGTGTTGTTTCATTTTTATGTGGCTTATATTTTGACACTGCTGGTCTTTGACCACAATGAAGTTTTCATGGGGAACAACTTAGAAGAGGGGGCAGTTCTTAGCTGTGGATTTCCAAGAACTTCCAAGCCTTCTCACTAATCACTTTTACCTGGTCAGCAAAGCTGGTTTTTATTCATGTTGAGATCTTGATGTTCGCTGAGTTTGTTTTATTTCTTGCAAACTTTTCTTTTCCAAATTAAGGAACATCATCTGTACACAGGCAAAAAAAAAAAAAAATTAGGAAAACCATACCTAAACCCCAATTGGCAGTCAGAAGACACAATGAAAACGTTTTGATTTCACCACATCTGGATCAATTTGATCAGAAATTCAATTGGTAAAATGTCACCACTGTAGATCAAGTCAAATCCAAGAATGTGAGAGAATTCCTAGGAGCCTCACATTCTAATAGATCTGCCATGAATAAAGATAGAAACCTGGTCTACAACTATTCAAAAAGCTACGAAAGGCCCAAGAAGGAAGGAAACATTTTGGGCACATCGCTAGATAAACGAGAACTAATACAATAGGCAGGAACAGTCTGAAATAATGCACCCAATCAAACTAGATAGCCCAGAAACAGAAATGATCAGAAACAGGCACTTAACAGTCACAATCCTGATCAGAACAAGGTTGACAAGCTGTCGCAATAAGAAGCCAGCACCCTCCACTCCCTTGTATGAAAGTGCTGATAATGTTACCTGGTCTGGTAACGAAATGTTTGCAAGAAGAAAAACGAAGTTCACTGAACACCAAGATCCAAACAACCTCAAGCTACACATATTCTCCATGGCTGCTTTTATTTGATCCAAAGGTCACCTTTAATTAGGTTTGGCAAAATGTAAATGTATTTTAAAAGGGATCTAGTTTTATTTTTCCTTTCAAATAAAAAGCAAACATGGGGAAAGTTGTTGCAGAAAATTCAAGTGCCGGGCAATCCTTGCCGGAATTTTAATGATTTTAATTCATTTTAATTAATTACTTTAACAATACGACACATTTTCAGATAAAGAAATCAAACTGTATCATAAAACGCGCTCTGCTCATGACGTGCTGAATTTGACGAGCCTGTGCTGTACCCTCCCAAGTGCGGGCCATGTGGTAGAATATGGTTAGAGCGCATATTTACTGGCGCACACTGTAAAACACTTGTGGTTGAGTTTCAAGAGGACATGTGGTTTGTTCAACAGATGTCTGACAGCAAGTAGAAAAGTCGAACCTTGAAAAGGGGAAGAGGACTAGTTTTGAGGTATTCAGAAACCATCGAGTGACCTTGTTATGAGACCACCTACAACCCTAGTGTAACCAAAAGCTGATTATCATAGTAAAAGGCACACCCCTAAGGTAGAAATTCTAGAAAACATAGAACATGCTGAGCTTATGATGAGGTCTTAGTATGTAACACAGAGTCAAGTGCGTCTGCACAACATAACCAGTCGTGTTTTTTTACATGCCTACTTCCCTATTTTTGAAAAGTATAAAGATTGATGTAAAACTTTGCTCAAGGTTCCACTCCTTGGAGAGACGGGACCCTTTTTGCCAAAGCGCTTCAATAAAGAGAATAAAAGGACTCTCCGACTCGATGTGTTGATTGGACCTTGCGTGCCAGGTAGATGAACCTGTCTCTCTTTTGTGGCCAACACAAGGAAATCTTCCGCTTGCCTTGAGGTATCGTTGCTGTAAGCCATGGAGGCTCGCCCAGTGGAAAAAAATATGTTTATCGTTGATGTTATCTGCAGCGGTTTGTGAAATCAAATGCACTTTGCTCCAAGATCACGGGTGAGGACAGTAAACATGGAGCTAGACTGTCCTTTGCTCCAAGTTGGTTCTTTCTATTATGATAATAGCTCCCCCTAGCCTCTTACTGGTTTGGTGTAGCTGGACAGCTAGTTCCAATTTTGTTTTTCCCCTATTCTTGTTCAACCTCCTGGAGTCCCCCCACCTTTTTTAAAAAAAGACAAAGGGTTGGGGGGCCTCTCTCCAGCCTCAAAAACCTAGAGTATCCAACGGATCCAGAACAAACCACTTAAGAGAAGTAATTCTGTAATTCCCTGGCATTCTTCACCTTCTCATTTACCACCTTCAGCAAAATTGTGATCTGACGCAGGAGAGAATTTATTTGGAACTGGGTTTGGCCTTTTGAGTGAGGAAGATAACTTTCCAAGGTGCCGAAGGTATTTTTCTGTAAATTAAGAGCAGTCCCTAGAATTGCCAACAATTCAGAATTACGATGGTCCAATTCATCTTTCTAGCCATAACGGGAAGAAATAGAACCAAAACAACACTGTGGTCTGACCCTGTTCCCACAACATGCTTGACCCAGTTGCCCACAAGCCCGGTCAAATCTTTTTTGGCATATACACAGCCCTGGATTAACCATTAAGCAAAATAAACACATACTTAGGGCATAAAGGGGGGCACCACAGAGATTTTTCTCCTAGCTATCAGGCCCTTAACTCTTTCACACTCAGCCTTAGTTGAATTTTTTGCAATTGCCCTTATCTGCCATGTTCAACTTTATTCTGCACGGTTAAAAAACTTTTTCTTTGGCCCAATGAGTTCAAACTAAAATTTAAACTTTAAAGTTTGGTTTGAACATGTCATCAGAGATCACATTTGTTTCTGTCTCATGGTGTGAGAGTTTTGCTTCTGTTGTGGGGCACCATTATTGGGCCGTGCATGGGGCATCAGTTGGCCTTCACCCAGCCCTGTGCGCACATTGCACTAACTGGGTCAAAAGTCATCATGTTAGGAATCAAATCCCTGTCCACTTTCTCATATCCCATGACCCTTTTTTTATTTATTTGATGCATATCCTGCCTTGTCTTGAGGAGCTCAAGGTAGTACAGTATACACAGTAATTCCCCCTCCTATTTTTCCTGCAATAACAGCCATGTAAGGTGGACTGGGCTGAGACATACTGGATGACCTTGGGCCAGTCACCCTCTCTCAGCCGTAGGAAGCAGGCAATGGCAAGCCAATTCTGAAAAAGCTTGCCAAGAAAACTGCAGGGACTGGTCCAGGCAGTCACCAGGAGTCAACACTGACTCAAAGGCACACACGCGCGCACACACACACCCAAGGGGGTAATTTAGGCATATCTTGGGGGTAATGGAGCAATTTGTAATTGCTTGTTTGTGAGTCAAGGATCAGTTTGGGACTGCTGCTGCACTTTGTACAGGTAGTCTTTGACTTATTTAATGGTTTAATGGCCATTTGAAGTTATGCTGGCGCTGAAAAAAGTGACTTACGACTGGTCCTCACACTTACGACTGTCGCAGCATCCCTGCAGTCACGTGATCAAAATCCGTGCAGTATTTACAATGGTTGCATCATCTCAGGGTCATGTGATTGCCATTTGCAACCTTCCCAGGGGGCTTCCGACAAGCAAAGTCAATGGGGGAAACCAGATTCGCTTAACAATCATGTGATTTGCTTAATGACCATGGCAAAAAAGGTTGTAAAATCAGGTGCTACTCACTTAATGACCATGTAACTTAGCGATGGAAGTTCTGGTCCCAGTTGTGTTTGTAAGTCAAGGACTACTTGTAAACCCCTTTTGCAACAACAGAGTGTTTTTTGTTCATGTGTGGGGGTGGGTGGGTAATGACATTATTTGAGACTGGGAAAAGGGGTAATTGGGTCAAACTATTTAAGAACCACTACTCTGTAAGAGTTCTGGCAAGGCTTCATGACATAACCAGCCCCTACCCCACTGGTCCAGCAGGGCTTCATCCCAAACAACTCCCAGTCCCTGCTGTTTCCTTCCCACCCAGCCTCATCCCTTGCCTGCCCCCCAGCACAGCTGCACATGGCAGCAGAAGAGGAGCTCCTGGAGGAATGGTGAGAAGAGTTCCACCTGCCCCTCATCGGCTTTCAGGCCAGATCTCCCCAAACCAAGGGTTTTCAAATAGGCAGAGAGGGAGTTGCCTGGTGTAATGGTATGTGGGAAAGACCTTGGGAGATTGTTCTCTTTGATGCTGCCAAGGGAACAATCAGATAAAAGAGGGAGGAGCCCGCAGCTGAATAATGGGCAGGGAAAGAAACTTAGAAAGGATCCGCCCTAACTTCCTAGGCTGTAAAAAGAGACGGCGGGAGAACTGTACTTCCAGACTTGCAAGATTCTGTCGATATAACTTTACAATACAGTAAAGTAGAATCAGTTCATCTGTTTGTGATTCCTGTCTGGTTTACCCCGCAAGGCCGACACCTGGGACCTGTTAGCACAGGAGCCCCAGGCTCCCACATTGGGGTCAACCTCCCAAAACAAACACCAGAAAAAAGTAGCTGGAGATGTGATATAATAAAGCCAATTAGTGCTGCACCGGAGAACAATACTTAGAAAACTCAGAGGAATGAAAGATTAGAGAAGGAAAGGCTGTCGGTACAAAGATCCAAAGGGTGGTGGGTTGGAACAGGGAATGATTTAGGTCTATTTGCACATCTTGTTCACTGAATTATCTCATTTCCTGGGATTGTGCCTTACATTAAACTTTAAAGCAGTGTTTTTCAACCTTGGCAACTTTAAAGTGAGTGGACTTCAACTCCTAGAATTCCCCAGCCAGCTATGCTGGGTTTTAAACTATAAACTAACAAAACAGGTAAGATGCATATAACACAGTGAACCACCCCAAAAAATCAAGCTAAGGTTTAAGTCAACCAAGTCTAACATGTAAAAGCATGTTTAAAAGCAGCAACTAGGTGTAACCTGACCTGGTTAAACCTAGTGTGTAAACACAGCCTTCCTTTTCTTTCTCTGACACTCACCCTCCCCCCCCCCCCCCCCCTCTCTAATAGCAACAGGTCACAGAAAAGGGCTAAATAGTTCACGTCTGGATTTATCCTTGGAGAGTAAGAGAGAGAATCACCATGGATTTGCTAACAGTCTAGGTTCTGCCCTGTGCATGCAACAAAATAATTTAGAAAAAAAAAATTGAGTGGCAGAATGAATTGGACTATGGTTCTCTCTGAATAGTAAAAAATGCTCAGCAGGAGGGGCAGCCCCACATTCCCCACCTTCTGGTTCCACTTCAGCAGCTGCAGAAAATCACCAGCAGCCTGGCCCTCTGCACCCCCCACCCCCCTGGAATAAGAGAGCTTGAAAAAGTGTGCCTCTTCCCCTGCCAGGAGGTTGACAGGGCATGCTTTCCACAGCACATGCCCAGGGATTCCATGTCAGCAATATAGCAGGGGGTCCCACTTGCAGTAATTGGATGCTCCGCATTGTTTATGCCAGGCGGTGTTTGGAAAGGAAATTTAAAGCAGAGGCCACAGATCAGAAACAGTGAAATCCACCCCCCAATGCCTCCAGTTTGTCACTTGCTGTGTCAGAGTTTGCTTGTTTCTGATGCGCACGAGTGCTGGCTTCAGCTTTTATCCCCACTTTAATGTCACTAATTGGTGTAGCAAATTGAGATAATTGCATAATTGCATTTGTAAGTACACTAAACACAGCAACACAGAGAGGGTAGGATTGCGTAACACGCTAAGCTAAAACAGGCCGGAACATGGGCTAGCCGTAGTTAAGCGTGCCTTGCCTAAATACACCTTGCAGTTCTACTGTTGTATGTAATCAGAGCATTGGGGTGTGTGTGTTTCAGTTAGTGTTTCCCCTAACTGAAATGTAGCTTTTCATTCTATATTGAATGTAGGTAACAAAGTAATTTATGGCCTCAAGACTCCAAAACAATGTTTCTCAATCTTGACTAGTTGAAGCTGTGTGGATTTCAACTCCCAGGATTCCCCAGCCAGCCTGGGA